TTTGATTACGTAAGTATTTTTTGACCCATATTTTCTTTGATTTTGAACTTCATGACTTTTTCATGTTCTAACGGGGGACAAGACATTAGGACAGTAGTCTTAGAGATGGAGGTTACCATAACCAACACCGTCGACCTTGTCCATGCCATTAGGGTAGGGCAGAGTGGTTTGCCTATGAGAGAGGGTCGGCTAGACTATGATGTTGGTTGGGGGGTAGCCAAAATTCCTTCAAACGCAACTGTTGCTGACCTGGTGGAATTAGAGTGAAGTATTGCATTCCATATACCATAGACCTCTTAGCACCCTCTCCTGATTAGCGAGCCTGTTTCCTTAAGCCAAGGTATGTAGCAGTTAGTGAGTTTCTTTTGAAAGGGAGACTTCGTCTGCCCCTTCATTCATTCCTTAAAATTGTCCTTAGATCATATGGACTAGCACCTACCCAACTTGTCCATAATGCCTGGGGATAGATAGTTGGGACCTATTTCCTATGTAAAGAGTCGACCTTAGGCAAGGACATGCCCCTCTACGTCTTTCAATCCATTTTCCAGCTTAGGGTGTTAGGAAAAGAGGACTCTAAAGGGTAGTGTGCTCTCTGTCCATGGGAATCACACTCCCTATTTGTCATAGGCATCCCATCTTCCATCAAATGAAGAAAGGATAACTGCATCTGCGTAAGGGGACATGGTAGATGTGTGAGGGTGACAATGTCCCATATGTGATAGTGCCAACCAACTACTCTGAAGCTCATGAGCGCTTCATCCTTGGCTTTTTGTTCTTTCTATTTGAATTGATTCTGAACTTTTTATATTGTTATAGGATCGGTAGATTGTTTCGAGTTGGCCTAAGTGGAATTGGGTGTTATAGAGGACATTGACCTTCGTCCTCTATCTTCATGCGAATTTGATCATTTGATTGCTTCCAGGCGATTTTTTGAGGAGTTCGAACTGTGTTCTGCTTCCATAAATAATTCCGCCACAACATTTATCAGTTTTTTCTATCTATCACTCATGAAGGTAATGGACATCCAATTTTTCATTGCTAGATCCTCAAACAATAACATCAGAAACCATCGCCAGGAACTAGTATTCTCTTTCTCAACGACCGCATAAGCAATTGGATATGTACAATCATTGGCATCTACCCCAAGTGCTGCTAAAAGTTGACCTCCATATTTTCCTTTTAGAAAACATCCATCTATACCAACAAAATGCCTACACCCTTCAATAAAATGCCGCTTACATGCATTATGCAAACATAGATACCCCTGAACACATTTTCCACTCGGAAAATGATCACAGTAGATCCAGGATTTGTTCTCCTCAATTCATCAGCATAACAACCTAGCAATGCAAATTGTCCAGCGTCATTCCCTTCTATTAGAACTTTGGCATATTTCCTAGTATCCCATGCAACTGTCCTCGTAATATGAACTCCCAAATCTTTTCTCACCCTACTTCTAAAATGTTTCGTCTTCCATACAGGATCAGGTCTAAAATCATCTAAGTAATAATTGGCAAGCCACTTAAAAGTAACNNAATTGGCAAGCCACTTAAAAGTAACTTACTTATTCGTATGCACCTTCAAGCAAGTATGGTTAGGGTAATATGTTTTTATTTGGACTGTGTCTTGACCCTGTAGTTTAGACGCCCACAACTTCCATGAACAGCCTTCCTTACAACACACAGTGGAAAACTTTGGAAAAATCAAAAGAAAACCTTAACAATGATTTATTGATTAAGGAAAATAGTTCTCTAAAAGAAAAGGTCGATGATTTGACAAAAATAGTTTATAAATTTACCGAAAGAAAGAAAAATTTTGATTTAATGCTTGGAAATCAAAAATGTGTTTTTGACAAAGGGGGAATCGGATTCAAGTCATTTTTAAAACATAAATCTCTTAAAAACATGTTTGTCAAAGTTTCAAACACCACTTGCACTTTTTGTAATATAATAAAATTGGACATGTTTCTTTTAATTGCTCAGTTAAAAAGAAACTATATTTTGAAAACAAAAATAAGTGGATTAAAGAGTACTCACAAACTAACTATCAAGGACCTAAGTTTATATGGGTACCAAAAAATCAAAAATCA